GACAAAAAAATATATTTTAAATTAAAATATATTATTATGGGTGTTTGATTTTTAGTATATAATTTGTTTTTTTTCCCTGTTCTAAGATGGCAAACCCTCCTCCCCAAAGGAGTACTTCTAGGCACAAAGGGGAGGGACTTTTGGTGGCAAAGGTCAGAGGCTAGGGGTGGGGCTTCTGGTCCCAAAATAGTGACCAGGGGGCGGGGCACCTGTCAAGGGGCAGGGCTACCCATGCGGCCCTTGACAGCTTGCCAAAACGTGGTAAGTGGCCCTTTGCCCAAAATAATTGCCCGCCCCTGAGCCAACCAGTAAGCTAACAGGTTATTGCTGCACTTATCAATTAAACAGCTATTTAACTTTTCACATCCCTACTCTATACATATCCCCATCACTGCACCAGCACAAAGTTAACCCTTGCCTGCTCCTGACAGTCATTGGCTAATGCTGAAGAGTGTCACCTCCTCAGCTGATAATCTGCTCAGATACTTTTCTGCCTTTTGCTATGTGACATCTCCTTTCTGTACAAGTCCTCAGTGGCTTGCTCCATGCAAGCACATTCTGTAATGATGATTCTTCATGTCACACAAAAGTAAACAGGTAGCAACTTACAAGTGTTACTTACTGGGCTTGTTCTATATTGGCAATGCACTTGAACAAAAACTTGAGCAAAGGGGCTGACATAGAGCCTGGTATTGTTACTGTCAGTTTGCCTTAGAACTGTGTTGTCCTGCTCAAACTTGAAGTAATCTATTTCTAGTTAATCATAGTGAGATTTCTTGATTGTAAGCCCCATTTCATACATTCCATGTGTGTTCCAGGATACAGATGTTGATAGTTGCTGGCCTTTGCTCTAGGCAGACATTTATTACAGAGGTTTGCATGCTGGTTCAGTCTTCTCAGGGTGTGAAATTCACATCTTTCCTCCCCATGTACTCTCCAGGCACTGGTCTGGATGGCTACAGCTTCAGTGCTGAGTTTGCAGGCATTTAAGTGGGCAAAGCAAATCTGTAAACTTTTTGATCTCCCAGATTTGTCTTTTTTAATAGCTGGATGTAGTTGCATATGGAGAAAATTTCTATTAGCCTGAACAATGTGGGCATTTCATGTCTGCTGTTTCTTGCAGGTGGCATTGGAGAAGCAGTGTCAGCTGCAGTCGTTGGGGAGCCTGGCATCACAGTTACTCGTTTGGCTGTAAATCATGTGCCCAGAAGTGGGAAGCCAGCTGAGCTCCTGAAGATGTTTGGCATTGACAAAGATGCCATTGTGCAAGCGGTTAAGGTGGCAGTGTCTAAATCAAGAAATACTGAATAGTGTGAAGTTTCTCATTTGTGTTACAGAGAAACAGTGTTCAAAATGGATGTACTGCAACTTTCAGGCAAAGGTGCTTAAAATATATACAGAGTTCTAATAAAAAGACAAGCTTCCAAAAAAAGTAGTGTCTTATAAGTTATTTTGCCTCACGGTTCTCATTTTCTGGAAAGAACTGGAGTGAGTGGGGTCTGAATGAAAATACTGTGGGCTTTTTGGGGGGTTTGTCATTAAGGAAGACTTTTGTCATTATGGCTGGTTGATGTTGTCAGCTTTACAGGGCATAGAACATGCATCTGTTTCTCTCGTGGTGATGTGTTGGGTTGCCCTTTCTTAAGGACTTAGAGCCAAGCCACCACTGTATAGTTTTTATAGTCAGCAGAGAAGTGGTCAGGTGTTCACTATATAAGGGTGAGAGTGTATCAGGAGAGAACTGGTCTTCTACAGTAGGCCCAGAAGCAGGAGACTAGAAAGGAAGGGACCTCTGGGAGCAGTAACCTTGGGTGAACTGAATGCCTGCTTTCTTTGATCTTTTACCAGTTCGTGTTTAAGAATAAAGCTGTGTCCTGAAAAGACACTTGGGCAAGGCACTAGGTTTTTCCAGGCTGGTAAAGGCGCTAACTGGCTTGTTTATGGTACAAAATGTGGGCAGATGATTGACCCCTGGAACTGAAGGGTAATAGAGGCAGCAGGAAAAAATTAAAAGAGTGAACATAGTCGGAGGAGTTTGGCTAATGGAGCCCCATTGGATTTTTGCGCCCATTAAAACAGAAAAGATAGAAGACAGTGTATCTGGTGTTGCACAGCAAGCAGCACAAGAACAGCAGACTCAGGAAGTCCTGTGTCTCCCGGATGGCCAACAAACAGGAGCAGCAAGAGGTCCAACAGCAGAAATGGAAGAAATTTTGAAGCATTTTGAGGAGTTGGCTTCAAAAATCCTTGCTGATCTGGAGAGGGTAGCTCAGCCCAACCTGGTCCTGGGTTGGTGAAGTTAGGTGCAGCCAGTTAGCCTCATGCTTTCCTTCACAGCCTTCAGTGCGTATAGTGAGTATTGCTGGCAGAAGGGGTTAGTGGTAGCCAGACTGGGTCCATTGTAGACAGATGCGACAGGCAGTCTCAAGTGCAGAAACTGACAAGTAGAAAGAAGTGGAGTGGTGATCTCCATTCAAATACATGCTTGATGGGAGAGCAAGGGATTCTGGGATCCCCATAGGAAGTGACTGAAGGAAAGGATGTTTTTGTTTTATAGCTTGTCATTCTCTCCCCCTATACAGACTCTGTGTTAAGCATCATATCCAAGTTCTTATGAGTCTGTACATTTTTATAATAAAAAAACAAAGTGAGTCTGTCCTGCAATGTTTCAGAAGAGCAGCACAGACTGTATACCTCACAGGGAGGTGGAGTGAAGGTTAAGGTGTCTTTCCATCCTTGCAGTCCTGGGCTCTGCCCCAAGGATTGAAGCAACTCCTGGTACAAACTGAGTATGTCTGAAGGCCTGTCTAATATCTGTCCACTGCATTTGGGAGCTGTGATTGTAGGACCCAACCTAGGTATCTGGGTAACAGTGCAGTGACTACATGGCAGCAGACTTCTGCATGGGTCTGCAAAAGTCTGCATGGAGCTTTGGGTAGCCAGGCTGCCCTGAGGCTCAGGCTGCTGTGACCCCATTACCATGGGTACCTAAGCCATCTAGATTTAAGTAGCATAGGCATGCTGCCTATCCCTCCCATTTGTAGCATAGTCTAAATTACAGCCACCTTTGGGGTTGCCCTGTGGATCATAAGTGCTGCTAAGAATGCTGTAGTGCTGTGGTTGCATGTTCCCAACACATGCCTTCCACTTTTCTTCTTCTAGCATGTCCCTTACACCAACGTGGGCAAAGGTGTCCTCATGAAAACAGCCTTTTGCTTCTGAGGAATGCCTGTGCTGTGCCATGTCCTCGTCCAGAGCTTGTTATGTCCTCCAGGCTTTTATTCAGCCTAAAGGGATAAGGCTGTTGCCCATGCTAATGTTTTACCAAAAAAACAGGCTGTTTCATGTACAAGGACCCAGACAGCAGCTGTTTTCAAGTTTTACCCAGAAGCATTTTATGTGCTATTTGGCAGTGTCTCCTGCTAGGAATTCCAGTTTGCTTTTTCTCACATAGTAATTCCAGCATAGCATTAAAGATTAATATAAATATTTCACAAAAGAAAGTTGCAGTATCCCATCCTGTCATCTGTTAGACTGTCGGTTTTTATTTCAGTGTAGCTCTTCTTTTGCCATAGAAACCTAGCATAATATCAGTAATATTATTTATAATTATTTTTAAATTTGACTCATCTCTGAATCTCTTCACAAAGATTCAGGACTTGGAAGAAAGCTTTATTTTTATCAACCTACTTTTCATGTGTTGTTTGGAGATTTAAAATATTTATTTTTATTGCTTTAATTTTTAAGCATTCTGATCATTTAAGAAAAAGAAATGTTTGAAAATCGAGCAAAGATAGTTCTGCCCAGATGTGAAGATAGCATTCTCTGGCAGAATTTCACCGTATTAAATACATATGGGGATATACTTCTCCCCAGCCCCTATCTAAGACTCCTCCAATAGCCTGAGTCATCTTTCAGGCCAAGACATGTCCCATGGAAGAATCTTAAGACGTTTCTCATCCTTGCTTTGAAAAAGCAGGATGACAATATTCATATTGTGCTATTCAGTTGTGCAATTCTGCAGCATCTATGCTGCCTTTGTCTGAATAGATTTTTATTTTCGAAGTGATGTTATCTAACATTTTATATGACAAAGGATTGTGCAACAGTGACACAGAAACAGTATGTACATCGAGTAGTTGTGGCTAGGAGCATTTGAAAAATACTATTTTTACTATTTTGGCTTAATTTACAACTTAACTCATTTTTCTACAGGCTAAAATACAATTGGCAGTACCTTTTTACAAATCAGTAAAACCAAATGAATAAAGAAAGATGCATATGTGCTTAAAAATTAATGCTTACAGCTTCTAGTTTTCTAAACAAGATTGCAAGTGACAGTTTGCTTATATTAAAAATAGGCCTGTTGGGTTCTTGTCCTCAAATCTGCCGCCTCAATTTTTCCACACTTGCTATCACCCTTTTAATAGGTGTAACCCCAGTGGCTGGGGGGGGCGTGTGGGTGGATACCGATCAGGGGGGCTGGGTGCCACCATGTGCGAGCTCCCCACCCCGCGTCCAGGTAGCACCCAGCCCCCTGTACCCCCCAGGGCCTTCCATACCCCCAGTTGACATCCCCCCTGGTCTAGAGCTTTGCTGCCCTTTATAGTCAAACAAATGCATTCATAAACACTACCTACACAATGACAGGACCAATGTATTCACACTTTGTTATTTTATGGGAAATAACAAAGCCCCGGCAGCCTTACATGGGATCCTGGGGGCCTCAAGGAGTTGCAGCCACGTCACTCCTGCAGCTGGGAGCCTAGCTGGCATTCATAGCTCAGGTGGGTCAGGCCCCAATTTGGGGTGGTACGTGCTGCTGCCACGTGTGCCACCCCACTTTTTTTCCTGCATAGTTTTTCTTGACCCCGGGATCTCCCAGGGTCAAAAAACGCACCCATACGGCAAGGTAGGAGTATAGAGAACACCTAAATGTGTGGTGTGTAGCACTGCAGACAGGTCTGCGATGCTACATACTGCCTGTCCACACTTGTCTGGACATGGCCTTGGTGTTTAACTGGGCAAGCAAGAAACAGATCTGCCCCCCTTGCAGTCTCATGAGCAGTGAAGGGGGGAGGCTTTGTGAATGCCAAGGTATTGTCTCCTTGAGGAAAAGGATATGCTTGTTGCATGTTACTGTAGTAATTCAGGGCTCTGCTCATGGAAGAATATTCCCAAGTCACACTCATGTAACAAGGAAGACCTCAGCAACATGACAAGTAAACCAGAGGTGAAATGTGTGAGAAGGAAAGAACCCCCCAAAAGCTACTTGAGCCCTTTTTCTAGTACTAATGGTCTTAACCATGAGCCCACTAAGGATGATATGAGCCCTACCATTGATTTCAGGCTTCAAGTGAGATCAACATGATTATTATATGTGGGGAAAATAACATGATGTGCTAAAACATCTGGCTTAGCATGAATTTATAACCTAACCCGAGTTTGCTTTACAGGTAGTTGCAATGAGCCACAAAGCACTTCAAAATGAAAAACAGAAGCAGCACAGGTAGAACTCTTCCCTAGTGCAGAGGATAATGCATCTTTGATGGTTAACACTTTGATATTCTATATTAGTCATTAGATTTGTATGACTGCACCATAAAATAGTTTATTAACTTTAATACAGTAAATCCAGGAATTCAGGGACTTGTTGAATTCTCTAGGATTCTTCTGTTTAGTCAGCTTTGCTTATGCCTGTATGATGAGAAGGAAAACAAAGAGCTGTCAGGAGTATGCTCTTCAAATTAAATCTCTTGTGTTGACTATTAGCTCCCCAATACCACAGTTTGGATGCATCTTATTTAGTATTTCAAGTACAAATAGATGCTAGCTGGTCTTTACTGAAGACCAAAAAGAGGGCTTTGTCTGTTCACATTTTGAGTTGATCCATATAAGTCTCATTCAAACACTACCAAAGAAGTAATTTTAGTTCCCTAGCAGGAGCAATGTGCAGAGAATGTGAAAGCATTCTGCCATTTGGAGACAGCAGAGATAAATGAGCAGCAGTGGTCTGTACTACAGGACTTCCAAAACAAGTTAGACATTGTAACACTTTGGACTCAGAGAGACAGGAAATGTATTTAGAAACACGAATGTTCCTACCTGTTGGTCTGAATCTCTGAATCAGAGGAATAAAGCCCTCAAGGACTCTGCGGATTCTGTGCACTGATTTAAAAACAAAACACAAGGGTGTTTAGGAACTGCAAGAACAGAGCATGGAAGTGCAATGGAACAAGAGCGAGTCATGAACATTTTCCTCATGGTTCTGAAAACTGGGTGCATTAATATGAGCCATGGAAAGGAGCTTTCCACTACTCTGATACATTGGAAAACCATAACTTTCTATCAGTTGCACTCTTCCCCAATGAGGTCCCTGAGGATCTCCAACTTTATTTCCTGTAGCAACTTTCTTCAATCTATTGAGCAACATCGATTGCCCTTCATCTCGACAGGAGCTGAGGTTGCTAGGCACTTTACTGAAGCGGGCCAGGACCACTACTGCCTAGAAGTTAAGTTTCAATGACAGAAATATTTAACCTTTGCGGGAGAATAAGGATTCCTGTGTCCTCAGAGAACTTGTGAGTGGTAAGGAAAGAAAATGAGTCAAAAACTTGCTTGAACTCTCAGAAGCCAGGGTGACAGTAAAAGTGTTATGAAATGCTGAAATACTGCAAGGGAGGACTATATTTTATATAATTTCAACCAACAGCATTTTTCTAAATCTGTTAAGTGATCATTAAAACTCCTGAATGTCCCAGGTGCTTTATATAAAAGTGCCAGTTTTAAGTGCTGTTAAATATGCTTACCTAAACCAAAGTAAATCCCTGTGGTTTCTAGGGAAGCAAAGGTGATTAAACCAATACCAAGAGAAATGGTCCAGTCTAAAAAAAAAAAAAATAAGCATTTGTTTTTGTTCTATCTTCCAACATTCAACAGTTTGTCCTTCTGCTAAAATCCTGTCTCACCTTTGTAGTGGTGATAGCAAACCAGTAAGGCTCCAATGGCAAAGCAAAGAATGACAAAATGAAAGAATTCATCTGAGAGAGAGAGAAAGGACATTAAATCATTTCACTACAATGATAACCCTTGATCATACAGCACTCATCAAAACGGATCATTTACTCTTCTGTATCAGACACACACGACTTGGCTGATAAGCATGTGCGTAACTAAACTCTTGAGTGGCTTGATTTAACTTCAGAGAGATTCATCACGTTTAAACTTGAACGCATACTTAAGCACCTTGTTGAAGTGCAGCCAAAGACCTTATACCATATTTATCTTTGGCCCAACATTGTCTTGGTTTGGAAGCAGTTAGTTGACAGAGATGTTTCTTACCATCTTTTCGAATGCTCATCCACCACCTGGATCTCTGTTCACAGTGATCATGGTGAGTCTCATATGCTAATGGGAAAGTGACAAGTGTTATTACAATAGTTACTTGAAAGTGGGAAAGCTTTGAGCATCTTTTCTTATATCTAAAATGAACTTTGCTTTGACAATCAGCGCAATAAATATTTCTGTTACAGGGAAGATCTAACTCTACAGTCCTTCCTTTCAGAAAAATCAGGCCGCTGATTGTAGAAAAGTGTAAAAAAAACCCCAAACAAACCCCAAACAAAAAAAACGCACCCAAAGCCCCCACTATTATTTTAACTGGTACTGGAGCGTTGCATATAGCTATAGTGCATACAGGAATTAACAAAAACATAGTTCTCTTTAAAGCAGAATTTCTCTGGCCTTCAACACTACTCACAGCACCTCAAACTTGAAGAAGTAGTCTCTGAACTGTACTGGAGAGACAGGAAATCAAGCCAGGATGCTTAAGCTAGTAAGGCATTTCAAATGAGTCTTAAGGATTAAATAAGCTTTCCAGGGCCACAGCTACTATCATGGAATAAAAAGCATTATTCATTATTATGCTTCTGTGGGCAGGACTAGTTTCCCAAGTTCCAATGATTAAGAATTTCTGTATGCCCAAAAGTGAGAGTTATATTTGGGAAGGAATGAAATAAGAACTGACGCAAATCTCTGAGGTTTCACATTTGAAACGCGCACACAGAATTTTAGCGAGGCCTGAAAAAGCAAAATCAGCTGGAAGAGAGAATTTCCTTGCTGCAGTGCCCACCAGAAACATCAGAAGAGTCTGAGAATTTGATCCTATTTCCAATCGCATTTGTAGTTTTTAAGTAGAGGTTTTTTTTCCTATTTGCCTGCTCACTTTTGATAAGACCTAAAGCAATGCCCTTGACATAGGCCTTTGGAGCTTAACTCAGCAAGAGCTATAGCTTTGCCATTGCTACTCACCCTGTGAAATTCATTTTATCCATAAAACTAGTAAAACGGGGGTAAAATAGAAATTGTGGTTCACCTGGTTTGTGTGAGAACCCTAAATTTCACGTTGGGCCTTAGATTCAGATGAACCACAAATAATGCTTGAGAAGGAACTGCTAATTTATGCATGCTGTAGTTTTAAACCAAATGAATCTCTATTTTGTTCTGCAGAAAACTTCAGCCCTAGGTTATTTGACTAACTCAGGTGTGTGATTTTTTTTTTTTTGGCTTTGTGAAGACTTCGTATTTGTGGAGATCTTGGTCTAGGCCAAAATCAAAGTTATTTGGGTTTTAATATTTAATGTTTTGCACAATTCTGATTTGCATAAACCTTCTTGGGGTTTCTTTCTACAGTTTAACACCTTTAACTGAGAAATTAGCTGATGCAGGCTGAACATCTGGCCCTTTATCAGGTAGGGTGACTGTTTTTTCTAAATGGGAAAAAAGGTGGGATACATGCCTGCCTCCTTCCTCCTCCCCTGCTGCCCATGGTGGCACAGCCAAAGCAGAGCTGAGTGGAGCCTGTTGGGGGGCAGGGGAGGAAAGCAGGCTGCCCGCTCAGGGCTCCCCACCCTGCTGCCCTCCGCCCCAGGAGCCTCCATGGGCCAGCAGGCAGGACCCAGTGTGGGAAGGCAGGGAGACTTGGTCCTGCTGCTGCCAGGAGCCCCACTCTGGCCGCGTTGACATGACAAGGCACCCCCTCCCCTGGGGTAGGATTGGCAGCATGGAGTTGTGCCCCTTGCTGTTGCCAGGCAGGCAGGGGGCACCTTGCCATGGCAGAGTGGCTGGCGCAGGGCTCTTGGTGGTGACAGCACCAAGCCTCTCTGCACCAACCCGTGGTGGGTCCCGCACACTGGGCCATGGAGCCCACAGGGAAGGCAGCAGGGTGGGGAGCCCTGAACCCTGCAGCGGACAACCTGCCCCTGCCCTGGGGGGGGGCCATGTGCCCCCCTGTGCCTCCCTCCCCAGGAACGCACGCAGTGGCAGGGAGCCAACCCCTATCCCACTACCCTGAATGAGCCACTCATGGCTCTGTCCTGCTCCCCAGGTGGCCCCACAGTCTTCCCAGTCCCCATGTACTGTCCTGGCTGGGCAGCAACCCAGCCCCTGCCCCACTCCCTCCTTCACTGTGGGGGCCTCAAGCAGCCCCTTGCAGGCTGGAACTCTGCCAGGCTGCAAGGGGAAACCTACTGTTTCCTCCATTTTTCCACAGAGGACAGAAAACCCAGATTCTTGCACAATACTGGAAATCCAGGACAGATACTGTCCCAGAGTCATTCAGCCTGGGACCAAGACTTGATGTTCACATATCAGGACTGTCCTGCCCAAGTAGGGAGGGGTGGTCACCCTAATAGCAGGCTGTTTTCTAAATACAATGGGCCAAAGTCACCCCTGGTATAACTCCTGAAATCAGATAATTTTACACCATCTGTTCTATCAAGATATTGTATTGCATCTTGGTAGTTTACATTGTTTTTATTCTTTTACTTTTCTGCCCTAAGCTTGTGTTGCACTATTGCACTTCCCCACTGCACACAAATAATCCCTGATATGCAGTACACCTGAGAGAAAAAGCACACATACTACAGGGACAAAACAGAGCTGCTCAGTTTGCTTTTTTATAATTACCATCTGCAACTGCATCTTCTTGTCTTGCAATCTCTGAAAAGGAAGAAAATATGATCATTTGCTCTCTAGTAAGAAACCCACATGCATATTTGCAGTAGTTAACAAGAAACCTCCCTTTTGATAACAACTGTTTATTAAACCAAATGATTTCCCATTATCATCAACCACAGCCAATGATAAATATCATGTCACCTCCTAAGCCAGAGGGCAACAGATTTGGAATCTACCAAACCAGAAGAGGGAGTAAGGAAAGAAACAGGTCTTTCCATGTCCTATTAATTCAGCATTAAACAGGCAGTAGGTAAATGTTGGTTGTGTATAACTGACTGCTGCCATCACTGAGCTAGCTGGGTCCAAGTAGATAGAGGACATTATAACTGATCATTAATTGCAGGTAGCAAGATGCAGCACAATACAGACTGGTGGAAGTGTACACACACCTCCTAAATTTGCTCACAAGGGGAGCAGCAGTATTTTAGAGATTTGAGTGAAATATCAGTGGCCATCAGGTGAACCCCGAGCCAAGTAGACTGCACTGAAGTAGTTTGCTCTGAAAGCAGCAAAGGCATTGGGAACTGTGCTGAGCATAGACACAACAGGGCAGCACCAGCTGATGGCAGTGGCACCCTACTCTCTCAGTTAAGATCTTGGTGCTGAGGGCCATAACAGAGAATTAAGGGAGCCAACCAAGGATAGAAAAGGCACTGCGGGTCTCTACTTTCAGGTGGAGAATCAGGAGGTGTGTCAGGATGTGCCTGTCCCACTCACTCTGCCCTGCCATTGCACTCAGCTTTGTCAACTGTGGATCATGCCCCATTCCCATCCTATCGTATCAAGGCCACAAAGCCAGTTCTCGCTCTTCCTGCAGGTAGATTGTCTCTCCAGCTATGGACAGAAATTGCACATAAACCGGTTTAGGTGATCAGAAACAGCTTTAAACCTGTAACACAACCTAAGTTCAGTGCACATAAAGTAGCTGCAAAATGGCTGAAACTGGTTTAAGATAAACCTGGTTGAATGTAGTATCAGACTTAGCTGATTTGGGTCAAATCGGTTTATGAAGCTTCTGTCCCAGACCCCTTCCTGGTTCAGGTTAAATCACAGTATCCCAGCATGCTTTCCAGCCCTGGGCTGGGCTGTCTGCTTCAGCAGAGAAGGGTTGGGGGGAGAAGCAGGAACACCTCCCCACCCCAACCCCCAATCCTGGGAAGCCACATAGGTGAGTAAGGCAACCTGGCCATTGGAAATATGCAGTCCTTCCTGAAAGGGGTGACTGTGACAGAAGCAGTGTGAACAGAGTCCCTGGGAGGTCTGGAAAATGAATTGTTCCCACCTCATGAGCAGCTGTGGAGATCAAGCTAATAAAATCAGTGGGAATACCTGGCATCTGTAAGGGCAACAAAAGTTCTTGGTGCAGTTTTTACACTATGCCCCAGGCTAAAGCCTAGTAAAACCCCTAAAAAACCATGGTGTATTTATGTCCCATCTTTTCCAAGAGTAGGCTGTTAGCCAAACACAAAATTATCTTTCCAGCAGTGTGAGGGGATAATGTGGGAGCATTCACCTGCTTCACTGTAGGGAACAGTCTCTGTTGATACACCTAGAATATTGAAAAAAGACACACGATTCGGATCTCTGTAATAAGACACATTGGGAAAAAGATTCTGCTATCGGTCACACCCTTCCACCCAAGCACAACTGACAGCAATTAGCATCTGAAGGAAAACAGCCACATAATAATTGAACTTTCTATATTTCCTTGTTATGTACCACACTTGTTTGATGCACCTGTTTGCAGGCACTATGAATGTAAGGAGACTGCTGCACTTGCTTGGTATTTTTTATTTCCAAAGGGAAGAAAAAATCTTCAGAATTAAAAAGCAACACGTGGGCCTGGTTTATAGTATAGTTGATACTGTGGGCCAGCTCCACGTTCTATAAATAATGCCTGGGATTGATATTGTCAGAATTGTTCAACTGCATTTCAGAAGTGACCGTCTCTCCCCAGGCACTGGGCAAGATACAAACTGCCACCACCAACCTGAGCTCTAGTGCTGGCTTCTTCCCGTGTTTGCGATGTTTGGAGCTGAAACTGTACTCCAGGCTCATCTACGATACTAGCAATTAGTTATGCAAACTTCTCAAAAAGTAGAGAGAAGCATGTGCCTGTTAATATTGTAGGATCTTTGTCTTGTAGAAAATGCCTGCCTTCTCTACCGCCCAGGTCTGGCTGACATTTGTCTTTGTCACAGGGTGTGGAAGTGCTCTAGCCTGGTAACCCAAACCCATCCTACAGGCCCTGCACAACCCTTAAACCACATTCCCTCCAGCTTGGGGATGTCTGCTGTTTGTACATGTCAGTATATAATCTCCAGGGACCTGGGCAAAATAAATTACTTTTGTTTCTGTCAGGAACAGTATGATTGAGGGGGCTGTGGCCAAACAGAGCACATTAACAGTGCTTGACAAGCCAGGTGTGTGCTCCCGTGCATCTTGCCACTATCAACATTATTATTTCACACCACCTGCAAGCAACTGGGTTTCCATCTTCTCTGTCTCTAAATCTTCCTGGTCAGCATCTATGCAAAGAAAATCAGATTCTTAAAGAAAAATCTTTTAGGAACAATAGAAGAAGTAGTTCTTTTGCTTGAGCATAGCACAACCCTAACCATATGGGTGTATGTCAAGAGAACTAGGCAGCAACCACTGTAAGTAACCAATACCTCACAGCTTTCTTAGAAGGATTGTGGGTAAGAGAAAAATTAGCAATCACTTTCTGACTACAGCAGCACTACAGCCAAAGGTAGAGCTCTGATTTTGCATGTTGGTTTATAAAGAGCATTACTAGCTATTTTTCTTTTTCACCTGTGAGATACAATTTATGTGGGCCTGGCTCCTACCCACTCAATGAGATTAGTCTCCTATGGAAAAGGAAGTCTTCACTTCACATACCACTTTCATGTTGAGCATCCTTTTTGTGGTCTTCCTGACTTTCTTTGTGCAAAAGCGGTTTAACAGTTGCCACAGCAATGTTTGCTTTATCAGTGATGTCTGCTAATAGGGAAAGAAACAACAGGGCGGTAATACAGAAGTAGCCACTAATGCCGTACATTAAGATATTTTATTTCGGGACCCTAGTATGTGTTTCAACCCACACCATGAACTCTTTGAGTGCAAATGAGGAATGTGGGAAAAGTCATTGAAAGGTGTATTTCTGCCAGGGATGGGCTTAACATATTTTTGAACTTCTTTATTATATTTTTTAATATCTAATTTCCTCAAAAGAACCATCCCAAGTGAGTCTTCATTCGTAGAAGGCATTTAGGGATTATTTTTTTGGAAGTGATCTATGCACAGCTGGGAATTTTGTTGGTATTTGTATGATTTAAAATTGGACAAAAATATACATTCCAAACAATTAAAAAGGCATCATGCCTCCCAGCCTTGGCACATGGCCTAAGGTGTTCTCAGTACAATGTGACCCTACTCCTACCATCCTAAGCTGGCCCACTTGCCTTCTGCCACCCGTATAGCAACATGGTGCATGTTCTCCATTGCTCTTGCTACTAACTTTGACACCCAAGGTGCAAGCTCCGGCCCTCCTGCTTTTTCTTCTCCCGCAACCCCACCTCACTGCCAAACTCCTAGCTGCTTCCTATGTCCATAGTGCCATTTAGGATCCAGATACCAGATGTTGATTGTTGCTGTTTTCATTTTGCATAGAGCAGGGGTGTCAAAAGTACAGCCCATGGGCCAAATCTGGCCCGCAGAGCTACTCTATCTGACGCAATGGGCCACCAGAAAGTTGAGGACATGGCCAGGGGAGTGGCTTTCCAAAGAATCCAGGGGCCTTGGGCCCCAATGGACACAGAGATCAGCAGCAACAAGGCAAGTTAGGGCTGATACAGCCCCAGTCGTCATCCAGTCGTTTTGCCTGTTGCTGCTGTCATGATCTTACCTCTTCAGCTGCTGGTTCTGCAACCACCCCATTCTGGAGCTGCTGTCACTGTGTGCCTCGCACCAGAGCTAGAGCTGTTGCTGCAGCACAGGACACGAGGGAGTGGCAGCAGCTCCAGCTTTGGCACAGGGCATGCAGTTGGAAATGGATTTTCTATATGCCGTGTGCCAGAGCCAGACCTGCTGCCACCGCTGCATGGCACGGATTGGAGCAGCCACCACCACCATCACCTCATGCCCCAGGCTAGAACCGCCCTGTGTCATGGGTTGGATCCAGCCCAGAAGAAGCCCTGTGGTCTGGATCCGTCACAGGGCATAAGGTGAGTTTGACACCCCTGGCATAGAGGGTGTCAAACAGAGCTGTCTCAGAGCTCTGCTGAATCACCACAGAACAAGCACACAGGGAGCAGACATAAATGACAATTTTTTGCACAATCTGGCCACAGAAAGAAAGTCTATAGCCATGACCAAACACAGGCGCACAGCTGTAGACCACTTCAAAAATGTCTGAACAGGTAAAAATGTAAAACAGCAAAACAGTGCATCTTCTGTAACTTGTGTCTGTGCTGCCTCCCAGCCTGTTGCTGTTTTCAAAATAGGAGCAGGGAAAGAAAAGGAGTTCAGTTTTGGGGTTTTTCAGTTCCTCCTGGAGGGTGGGCTGGGTGTATTGGAGCTTTCCTGAGGTGGGGGGGAGGGGCTCCAATACACCCACCCCATCCTCCAGCGCTGACTGGGGAACCCCTAGAATGAGCGCCCTCTGCTCCCTTTCCCCCCCTCCCATTCTGAAAACAGCGCCACCTGGGAAGGAGCGGGGGCCATTAGTAGGGGAAACCTGCTGCAGGCTCACACCTAGCAGCTAAATGCCCCTTCCCCTGGAGCCAACAGCGAACTTTCCTTTGGTCCGGGGAATTGTTGTAACTCAGGGTGCTTCCTGCAAAGTGATCTCAGTTACAGCGGGGAGTTGCACTTCTGTCTGCGTGCAGAGGCTCTTGTGTAAGTATCTTCTGATCATTTAGTAGGGATAAATGATTATTTTCCTTGCACTAAATTTCAAGCAAAAGCCAAATGAAATTTTCCTTTACCTTGTGAATCTCTGTCTTTAGACTCCTTGGATGAACATTCAGCCTTTCTTTTTTGCTGTGAAAGCATGAAACTCTTTTCCAGTCTCTCAAGTAGCTTCAGCTTTTCATCTGTTCAAGTAGAGAAAATTAGATTTGAAACTGAAATCTGGGGTTTCCTTAATCTTCCACCTTTATGTTATTGACATTGGGGTTCCTACAGGGAAATTAAACCTTAGCCTTCCTGCTGTTTGGTTTTCTAGTGCACGCCCAGCAGTGCAAGTAACACAAGCAAAAAGGTGATGAACAACTTAAGTATTCAGAAACTTATAGCCCCAGTTTCAAGAAAATTGTCCAAAGTCCTTTTGGTGAGCAAGCTCAAGGCATCTAAGCATGGCTGCTCCTCACCACACTTCCTACGCCCATGAGAATTTAAATCACCATGAGGCAATGTCAGACCATACCAGAGAGGTTTTTGCTGGACAGCACAGCTGCTCTCCAACCTCTGGACTCACTTTTTTTCTTCTAACTTTGATCTCTCCTTGCTTCTCTCTAACTATGTTAGAGAAGCATCCTCTTGTGGCTGTGAGAACTCTGAAAGCTGCGTGAGTTGAATCATCTGCCACTAAGAAATGGTGCACTAAGAATTGGCTGCAACCCTTTGAAAAAATGTTTCCAGAGACAATTTATCTGAGAAGCTTATACATTGGTTCTGCACAGGCTCCCAGCAATGGGGAGGTTGTATGTTGGCACTAGTGGATCTACAGGCAATTCTGTATGGGTTTAAATCTAGCTTTACACAGAGAGCCTGAGCAAGGCCTATGCAGCTGATTATTACCAATAATTTGTGCTATTTTATTTAATTATGAATGTGATTTATATGCTGCCCCTCCAGCAAAGTTTCTGGGTGGCCTACAGAACAGAACAAAATAACTTATTAAACAGGATGAATTATTAATGAACAAGAGAGCAAAATGACTTAAAAGGCAAATGAACTATCAAAGTAAAACAGGAAATCCCTAAACAATTTCCCAGCCTAGCCCTGCTTGCTAAATGCCTGCCTTCACCTTGCAGCACTTCTGGAAGATGTCCAGGCTAAGGCTCTGGCAGGCCTCAAGTGGGAGGAAGTTTCATGGCTGAGGAGCAACAGCTGACAACCATTCTCCATGCATTTTTGCCAAGCAACCTGGTGCATTGATGGTTCGTGGAAAAGGGTTGCTCTCAGCTGACTGTAGGGATTGTGATGGGGCATAAAGGAGACAGCAGGTAAGCAGGTAGAGCCCAGACTGTTTAGGTCTTTGTAAGTCAACACCGGCACCTTGACTTTTGCCCAAAAAGCTATTGGAAGATGGTGCAGACTTTGGAGGACTGGTGTTATGTGCCTGTAGTAACACAAACCATCAGTAGGAGGCACCAAGGCAGCAAGCGGGGACTGCTCATAGCCATCAGCTTCAGTGTCGGCAAGCATGGACTGCCTGCAGCCACTGGTGTCAGCAGCGGGAGAGGAGGGGTGGCGGGTGGGTACTGCTTTCAGCCACCATCGGCAATGTTGGTGGCAGGGAAGCAAGGGGTGGTGAGCGGGGACCACCTGCAGCCACTGGCGGCAGTGTTGATGGCAGGGGAGCAGGGGTGGCAAGTGGGGACTGTTTGCAGATGCCGCTGGCTGCATCGGCAGCAACAGGGGGGTGGGTGGCAAGTGGCAACTGCCTGCAGAAGCCAGTGGCAGCTTTGGAGGCGGCCAATCTCGGGGGGGCACATGCCCCGCCGTGCCTCCCCAACGTGTTGCCTATGTTCCAAAGAAAACCCATCCTGCCTTGGAGTGGGATATAGGTCAGCATAGGCCCTTTGCATAAGGGTGGACTTCATACTAGTTCTCTGCCTAGAAATGATGTAATATTTCAACAATGTAAGAGCCAATGTCAACACAAAGCAAGTATATACATACTAGCTGTTGAAGAAGTGGATAAGCCTATCAAAAATGCAGCCCTCATGTACAAAACCACAATGACTTGCTCTTGTAGATGTTTTTAGGCAGAGGAAGCCTAGTGCCGACTGCCCTCACCTGAGGTATTTGGGGAGGGAAGGGGGAGGAGGGGGCTGGGACTCAGACATGAAGATCAGTGTCTTCCAGAGTGTCTTTTCCTTGTTAAATTCCCCTTGCTTCCCAAGAGTTGGGGTAAAGCAGCCTCCACAGCTTAGACAAGAGAAGGACATCCTATTGTTAAAGGAACTCAAGTCAAAATGCTGGTATGAGGAGGGTTGTTTTTCAGCCTAATCAGACAGACAGTAGGGCCTGAGAGTGATGATTTGTATTTTCATAGCACTTGGGAGTGAGCCTCAGTCATGGACCAAGACTCCATTGTGCTCTGAACTGGACAAACAACAAGTACAAGATGGCCCTGCATCCAACAGGATACAATTTAAGCAGCAGAGAAATTCAGGCTCATCACAGGAGTCTTCATCTAGAAACAGCAAGGAAAGGCTAAAGCTGTACAAAATGAACCACTTCTCTTAGCACAGGATGGAGCAGTCCCATCCAAAGGTGAAACTTTTTGCTATCTGATTTCTTCCACATCTCATTACAGACCAGATGAGCTCACATCTCTCCCAAACTTGCCACATTTTGAGGAAACTGCCCCTCTTCCAAGGCAAATGAGTGCAATCAAATAAGATGTTCAGATATAAAGATCAGAATTACAAAACTCAAAATTAACTGGTTCATTGATAAATGAAATGCAAGGGGCACAGTGTCACCTAACAGAACATAGCCAACACCTGAGTGTGAAAGCTTGCTAAAATGTTTCTAGTAGTTCAGTATGTAGCTCTACCCAATACAGGAATTCAGTTTACCATACACTAGATTAAACACAATCTAAATTAAACACATTCTTTTTGCTACAATTAATTCAATTAGAAGGGAGAAAATTGAGCAGCTGGTGTAAACTGGTGCAGCTGTACTGGCATCACCACCAAGTGAGAATTGTTCCCTAAAAATTGATGCCTTTTTCCCAAAGAAACCCTAAAACAATACAGTCTATATCTGTCTAAAGAGTAGTTATTTAAAAGGCTCCCATCATCATAGTATCTAAGCAACGCATCTTCATAAGGAATAGCTCTCCTCACCTTTATAGTCACTCACTTCTATTCACTTCCTAGCATATTTCTGGGTTTTGAAATAAACCTCAAGACCTAGTGTATCTGTAATAATTTTTAACAAAGCAGATCAGTTAATCCATTGTCTACCTGCTATATTTGGTCTTGAAAGAAGGCAGCCAGTTAATGCTCACCATTTCCCTTGGAGCTAGGCAACTGTCTGTAGCCAGAGGGATCATTCACTTTCAGCAGCAGGTAAAGCACAACCATTGCATTAGCTCCTTTTTTTTCTATGGCCTGTAAGGCAGCTGTGCGCGGATCAGAGTCTTTGCTTCTGTTAAGGACCTGAAAGAAAGAAAAGTAAAAATCAAATGGACTGTGTAAAAAATCCAAGCACTAAGCACCCCACAATGTCTCTGAGAGAGATACAGAGACACTTTGTTTTAAAGAAGGGGAAACTGAAGCCAAATGTCCTGTCCAAGATCAAGGGTGGGATTAGAAATCTGAAGGTGCTGGCTTCCATTTTTAATCTATGCTTCTATCACTGAACAACCAAAGGAGCAACCACTATAGCTTACTTCACTAGCATCTAACAGTTATTCTGCTTTATGGTAAATTCCTGGACTGGAGAAATAAAATACAAAGTTCTTAAATGAACCTACAATCACTTTAGTAGCTTACAAGACTACCTTCACCACTCTATTCTAATGGCACTATTAGTGCTTCTTACTAGACAGAATGCAGTTGAATAGATATGAAAGAGTACAATAGGAGCCAACTTTTTTAAACAGTTAATTTCTTCATATTGTCAACAGTAAACAGAAGAGGCTATGTGTTAAGATGTGTTAATTTCTGTTTAGTACACCCATGGGTGGACCCTCAGGAACTGGAGTGGACAGGTGACTAACTTCCAGAAGAGTTGCTAAGAAAAAATATCATTACAGTACCTCATCAACAGGTGGCAGGAACTATATAATGGCCTGTTTTCAAATGGCTACCCTGATATATTTCTGGACACATGACGTTAATACTAGTGTAGGTTTTCATGTTTTTTCCCAGACTGAAGCAAGCTAGAGCAATGTAGACCTGCAAGTCATAGGTCTTTTCCCTGTTTACTCTGGTGTAAAACACACATCATGCTGGTGTAATGTGTCAGAGCCCTAACTTAAAAATACAGGCTTGGTTATCATTTATCTGAAGGCCCCTTGTATCACTCTGGCAGTGTAGAGGGACCTCAGCATAAATGAGAATTTGCCCCCTTGTTTTATATTTTCAAAATAGAGTGGGCAAGCATATAGAAAGACATAATAAGTCAGAAAAAAATTAAACAAAACAAGTTTTTCTTAGCAACTTACATTGTTTGTTTCTTCAGTGCTCAGAATGGCTGGTATAATTGTTCCTAAACATTTTATTAATGATTTCCAGAAGGGCTGGTTTATTTTCTCACATGTTTCAAAGTAATCAGCATCAGAAGTAAAAGCTTTCTGAAAAATGCCTGGAAGAAAAACCAAATATATAATTAATGAAGGCACATGCAAGATGATCTTTTAATGAGGAATTACTGGGTACATCTACATGAGATACTTTAGCAGAGTTGACTAATTACAGATTTCATAGACATTTGGGAAGGAAGGGGCCTCAGAAGATCAGGGGCAGGAAGTCAGCTAGGGTCAAAGGATCCCAGCAAAATAAGTGTCCAAACATTTCTTAAAAGTATCCAGAGTAGGTGCTTGTACCACCTCTGGAGGGAGTCTATTCCAGGCCTTGGAGGCTCAGACAGCCTCACAGTGAAGCATATACCATCTATGCATGCGCCCCTATTAGGCCAGAGTAAACAAATTAACTCCACTGTAGGATACAGCATTGCCTGGCACAAGTACTATCCTATGGCGGAGGCCAGGGACACACATAGATGGTGACCAGGGCTGGCTGGGACATGAGAGTGCTGTAGTGCTGGGGCTGCCTGCCAGCTAGTCCTGTACTGTATCACCCTCATGCCCCAGCCTACCACTCCACAGCATGTTGAACTGTGGGGAACGGCTCTAGGCTGGCAGGCTAACCCCCTGGGGGAGTTTGTTCCACGTGTAGATGCACCCACAGTCATGTTGTTGTGTAGATCTGATTATAGACATGGGTCTCTGCCTCACATGCTCCTTTTAATAAAGGAAGAAGCATATTATCAACTGGCATGAAAGCAGCCATGCCTGCCATAACTTAATGAGATAGTTTTGTTAGTTCATGACAGAATGCTAATCCTATAGCAATGCTATTGTTTTATGGGAGCAAACTGGGGGACAGCATCTTCCTATCTTCCTATCTTATCTGCTCTACCAAGAATGTCTAAGTTCTTCACAATCTTTAATGTATTCACTCTGATTACACCATTTGACAGATCAGCAACTGAGATGTGGAGAGCCTAATGGTTTTTAGAGCCATTTAGGTATAAATAGGCCTTTTAGTGAATGCCCAAAAGCACAGTAACAGATGGTGTATCCAACTCAAGAGGCAAATCCCAGGCAATGCCTATCTGCATCTTCAGGCACATAAAAATACTTTTTTTTTGTAAGCAACTAGAATGGAAGGCCTACAGGTTGGGGAACTGAACACTAGTCTGTAAAGGCCCAGGTTAGTGACCTAACCATGCCATCCTTTCTCTCTCTTAAACTACAGGCTGTAGCAGAAGTGGGACAGGGAGCAAGAAGATCATGAATTTGCCAGTCAGGGTGTACTAGGTGACCGCACCAGCCCACCTCAAGCCTGGAAGGCCCTGAGGTTGGAGTGCTGAAGGAGCAGAGTTTCACAGAGCTGCATGAATGGCATGAGCAGCAGGTGTGATTCTGTTTTCAAGTTACTGAATGTTTAAATGCTGGGAGTCTGCCTTCTTGTTTGCAAGGAGCTGTGGCTGACGGATGATCCCAGATGGAGATCGCTATAGAAAGAGGGACAATATATTCTTCATGTTGCTCACACAGAACTGATATCTGAATCTCTTTGTGAATGGAGAACACAAAGGGGCAGTTCGCATGCTGGGCCTCATGGGGTCTGTCTGCACTGCATAGGTAGCCTGCGTGACTACTTGTGTAGGCTTCCTGAGTGATTGAGTTGTGCTTTATGTAAAAGAGTTGTATGATTGCTCAAAGCTCCATATGAAACTAAAGATATGCCTGTTAAAAATCTCTGGGTTAGGGTCAGAGGGGAGAACAACAAGGGTGACATTGTGGTGGGTGTCTGCAATAGGCCACCAGACCAGAAGGATGTGGTGGGTGAAGCTTCTTTTAACAGCTAGCAGAAGTTTCCTGATCACAGGCCCTGGTTCTCATGGGGAACTTCAGTCGCACAGACATCTGCTGGGAGGACAATACAGCAGTGCACAGGCAATTCAGGAAGTTTTTGTAGAGTACTGGGGACAACTTCCAGGTGCAAGTGTTGGAGTGGTCAACTAGGAGCTGTGCTCTTCTTGACCTGCTGCTCACAAACAGGGAAGAACTGGCAGGGAATGTAGTAGTGGATGGCAACTTGGGCAGCAGTGACCACGAGGTGATTGAGTTCAGGATCCTTAGGAAATGAAGGAAGAAGAGCAGCAAAGAGCACCTTGGACTTCAGAAAAGCACATTTTGACTCACTCAGGGAACTGATGGACAGGATCCCCTAGAAAGACAGTCTGAGGCAAAAAGGAATCTAGGAAAACTGGTTGTATTTTAAAGAAACCTCGCAATGGCACAGGAACAAACAATAGAGATGTGCAGGTAGATTATCAAGTATGGCAGAAGACTAGCTTAGCTTAGCCGGAAACTCTTCAGTGAGCTCAAACTCAACAAGGAAGCTTACAAGAAGTAGAACTTGGACAAACAATTAGGGAGAAGTACAAGAATATTGCTTGGGCATGCAGGGACGTAATGGAAAAGGTCAAAACAAAATTGGAGTTGCAGCCAGCAAGAGACATGAAGGGTAACACGAAGGATTTCTACAAGTATGTCAGCAACAAAAGGAAGATCAGGGAAAGTGTGGGTCCCTTACTGAATAGGAGAGACAACCTAGTGACAGATGATACGGAAAAGACTGAAGTACTCAATGCCTTTTTCACCTCATTTGTCACCAGCAAGGTTAGCTCCCAAGCTACTACTCCTGGCACCCCAGTTTGGAGAGGAGGTGAGCAGCCAACAGAAGCAAAAGAAGAGGTTAGGGACTATTTAGGAAAGCTGGATGTGTATAAGTCCATGGGGCCAGATGTTATGCACCCAAGGGTTCTGGCTGATGTGATTGTAAAGCTGCTGGCCTTTGTCTTTCAAAACTTGTGGGAATTGGGAGAGGTCTTGGATGACTGGAAAAGGGCAAATATAGGGTATATCTTTAAGAAAGGGAAGAAGGAGCATCTGGGGAACTACAGACCAGTCAGCCTCATCCACATCCCTGGAAAAATCATGGAGCAGGTCCTCAAGAAATCTATTTCTAAGCACTTGGAGGAGAAAAAGGTGATTAGGAACAGTCATCATGGATTCACCAAAGGCAAGTCATGCCTGACCAACCCGATCGCCTTCTATGATGAGATGACTGGCTTTGTAGTTGCAGGAAGAGCAGTGGACATGCTATACCTTGACTTTAGCAAGGGTTTTGCTACAGCCTCCCACAACATTCTCACAAGCAAGCTAAGAAAGTAGGGGTTGGACAAGTGGACTGTAAGAAGGACTGAAAACTGTCTGGATCATCAGGCTCAGAGGGTAGTAATCATTGACTCAGTGTCTAGTGGGCAGCCAGTATCAAGTGGAGGACCTCAGGGATCAGTTTTGGGACTGGTTTTGTTCAATATCTTCATCAACAACCTAGAAGATGAGATGGAGTGCACCCTCAGCAAGTTTGCAGATGACATTGAGCTGGGGGGAGTAGTAGATACATTGGAGGGTAGGGCACTAGAATTCAGAGAGACCTCAACAAATTGCAGGAATGGACTAAAAAAAATCCCATGAAGCTCAATAAGGAGAAATGAAAAGTCCTGCACTTCAGATGGAACAGTCCCATGCACTGGTACAAGCTGGGGACTGACTAGCTAAGCAGCAGCTCTGCAGAAAAAGACTTAGGGGTTGCAGTGGACAATAAGCTGAATGTGAGCCAACATTGTGTCCTTGTTGTGAAGAAAGCTAATGGTATGCTGGGCTGCATTAATAGAAGCATTTCCAGCAGATTGAGGGAAGTGATAATTCCCCTCTATTCAGCACTGTTGAAGCTACATCTGGAGTACTGTGTCCAGTTTTGGGTCCCCCACTACAGACAGGATGTAGACAAATTGGAGAGAGTCCAGCAGAGGGCAACGAAAATGATTTGGGGGCTGAGGCACATGACTTCTGAGAAAAGGCTGAGGGAACTGGGCTTATTTAGTGTAGAGAAGAGAAGACAGAGGGGATTTAATAACAGCCGTCAACTACCTGAAGGATGGTTCCAAAGAGGATGGAATTGAACTGTTCTCGGTGGCGGCAGATGAGAGAACAAGGAGTAATGGTTTCAAGTTGCAGCAAGGGAAATTTAGGTTAGATATCAGGGAAAACTTTCTGATGAGAAGGATAATAAAGCACAGGAACAGGTTACCCAGAGAAGCTGTAGAATCTCCACCCTTGTATGCTTTTAAGACCTGGCTAGACAAAGCATTGGCTGGGATGACCTATTTGGAGATGGTCCTGCTTGAGCAGGGGGTTGGACTATGGCCTCCTGAGATCCCTTCCAACCCTAATTTTCTATTATTCTATGGTAAATCACAGCTTGGCTTTAACCTACTACCCCAGCTGTGTTCAAAATACAACGAAACATGTGCCTTAAGGCTAGGTATGTGGTTGCTGATTTGTGTGGCCAAAAACATGTAAGAGCATGTTGTGTAGACTTCCTCTTGATGCGACAGCACACACACACAGGCATAATCCAATGGGTGGAAGGAGGGCAAAGATGATTTTAAGTCACCTTTGGGGTCCTGAGATTCTGGGTTGAAACAAACCCGAAAATAATGTAGGCAGTTCAGTGAGGATCACGGCAAACCAGAGACAGACAATATAGCTCAAGCTTCATCATAGCATTACCCTCTACTTGGGGCTTATTAGTAACTCTGTGGCATCCCCTGTGAGAAGGGAATGCTCCTTCAGACAACTCAGGGGGACAGTTTACACCAGGGGTAGGCAACCCAAGCACGGGTGCCAGAGCATGACACATGAAGGCATTTTGCTTGGCATGCATGCTTGGGGGCAAACAACAGGGAAGGAGCCAGAGCTCTACTGAATCGGGTCCCTCATGGCTCCCCAGCCATCTGCCTGGGGCACACCAACATCTTACAAGTTGAGGTTTTGGGTGTTTTTGGCACTGCCCAAAAACGTTGATGACCCCTGGCTTACACTGTTGCAGTGCAGAGGCTAAGACAAATCCCTCCCAACTGTTTTAGTGCTAACCCAGAGAGCTAAAAAAACAGAAGAGAAACCAAAATAAATCCAGAAGACAGCCTCACGTGCTCACGTGCCTGCTGCCTGAGCCTTATACATTTTACAGATGGGAATTAAGCACATTTTCAGAGGAAATAAGTTCCAGGCTAGCAGGGACCAACACAGCAAAAGGTGTCATATGGATGGGAGTTTCCCCATGTTTCTGGTTACATTACCCTGTTGCTCACTGGTGAGAACTGGCAGTGCAAAGTCAGAGCTGTCCATTACTGGGTCTGTAAACATAGAAACAGAAGGTCTAAATCAGTTTGAGTTCTTCATACTTCCACAGTGTACCTAGCTTTCCACTAGGAAGGCTACATATCTTTACAGTACTTACCCTTTTGAGGACACCCGGGTACAGCAATAGAAGTTTCACAGCACAATTAATTTAATTTCCTAGAACCAATGTGTGGAGTCATTGAGGAAAACCCTCCTGCAAGTTTCACCTGAAGGATGCCTGCAGGACTGACCAATGGTTACGAAAGATCAAGGGGACTGTTCATTATGAGTAAAACAACAGGGAGTCTCACTCCATCACATACATATTTTTTGCAGTTGTAATAGTACCTAATTACCAGCTGTTGCAGAGTGAGTAATTTTAATGTAATTGCTCATTCAGGAAATAGCATGATCTTCCTTTATTTGTAACATTCATTGTTCCTTGAAATATTCAGATCAAAGAAGATAATAAAAATGATATGAATATTAGATGAGCAAAGTTGAGAATATCTGTTGTACAGGAGATCCTGACATTTCCACACTTGTCTTATCACCAGCTGGAATAAAAAGTTGCATTTTCAACAGTCCTTTCCAGGGTGAAGATTCTGAAATGTTGACACTAAAATGCCAAAGTATTTCATTTTGGCCTTCTCAAAAAGTAAAATCTTTTTGGTTTCTTACTAAAATTTACTTTTGAGTAAATTCCATTTAAACATACTAAACTCCATTATATTATTGTAGCACATTGCCTGTGGGATCTGTAGTTCAGGAATCTGATGCTTACGTTATTCCATGTGAACTAGGCTTTCTGGCTGAACTACATGTCCGATGAGATAGGTTAGTCTGAGGCAAATCCATATTACCTTTTGGGAGATGTAATCTTCTCAAGAGCCCAAACTACACAAGAGAAAATAGGGCCTGAACTACAACTCTTATAAAGAAGGCAGGTTGGGTGGGGTGGTCCTTAGAAACTAGCTGATTCAGAGAGGCATGAGCTTTCACAGGCAACAGCCTAAGGTGTCATCTTGTCCTACCATCTTCAGACTAACACAGGTAATCACCTCTCAACCTCATAACGTAATACAATGATAGAAACAAGCTGTGGAAAACTTTGTTAAACTCATTTGAAACACTTAATTCAGCCTAAGAAAGCAAAATACTCTGATCTGATTTAAATATCTGAAGTAAAATATTTACTTTTTATTTTCCTGGTGGGAAAATTGATATCCTTTGGCAAAATCAATCCAGTGAAGAATTCTCAGCTAGCTCTGGTTAATGTGCTGAGAATGCTACTGTCAAAGAGAAGAGATTAAATCTTATCGATATTGAAATAAACCAGCATTTAACTGTCCAGATCCTTAAAAAAAAGAATTTATTAACAATCATAGGATCATAGGGACCTTACAAGGTCATCTAGTTCAGCCTCCTGCTCAAGGCAGGATCATCCCTGATTAACTATCCCAGCCAAGTATCTGTCCAACCTGCTCTTGAAAATTTCCAGGCAGGGAAATTTCACAGCTTCTGTAGGTAGCCTGCTCCAATGCTTGTCTACACTCACAGTCAGGAAGTTCCTCCTCATCTCCAACTTAAATTTCCTTTGCTGCAGCTTGAGTCTATTGCTTCTAGTCCTGTTCCCTACAGCCACAGAAAAAGCCCATTCCATCCTCCCTTTAATAGCCCTTGGGTATTTGAAGACTGTTATGACACTCTTTTTTCTCCTCTCCAGAGTAAATATCCCTAGCACTTTCAGCCTTTCCTCGTAAATCATGCTTTCCAGGCCTCTAATAATTTTTGTTGCTCTCTGCTGGACTCTTTCCAATCTATCTGAATCCTTCTTGAAGTCTGGGGCCCAACACTGGACACAGTCGTCCAGGTGAGGCCTCACCTATGCTGAACAGAGAGGAAGGATCACTTTCCTTGATTTGCAAGTGACACTCCTGTTAATAGAGCGAAGTATGCTGCTGTTCTTTTTGGCTAGGGACAGACATTACACACAAACCAGTTTAAGTGATCAGAAACTGGTTTAAACCTGTAACAGAACAGATGTTCAACGCACATAAACCAGTTTCAAAATGGCCCAAACCAGTTTGAAATAAACCTGGTTCAATGTAGTATCAGACTTAACTGATTTGGCTCAAACTGGTTTACACAATATCTGTCCCACACCTCTTGCTAGTTTAAGATAAACCAGACTCCCCCAGCATCCCAGCATGCTCTCTGGGCTGGGTGGGTCTCTCTGCTCCACAGCAGGGCTGACCCCTGCCTTCCGCTCTCTAGCCAGAGCAGGCCTCCCCCCCAGCAAAGACAGTGGCTGGCACGGCCTGTTAAGGCAAAATGGGCAGGGAGGGAGATAATTCTTCCCTCCTTCCCCTCTTCCCCCACTGCAGCTGGGCTCAGCCTGTTTGCTGAGGAGGGAAGGGGGCTGCAGCAGTGGCCCCTGGGCTGCAGGGAAGGGACAGAGGCAGGAATTAACCCATCTCCCTGCCCTGTTCACCTTAACGGGGCCATGCTGGGTTGGTTGTCCTGCAGAGTGGGGAGGGGGGGCTCTGTTCTGTGCTGGGGGGGGCTCTTCCCCCTCCTCCTCCTCTCAGGGTGGGGAGGGGGACTCTGTGAGGTGCTGAATGAGGGCTCTTCCTCCTCTTCCCCTTTTCCCCAGCTGCCGCAGGGCTGGGAGGTGGGGCTCCATGCGATGCTGCCCGGCCCCAGAAGGGGTGGAGGGGGCAGGGGGAAGCTCTGTACCATTCTGGGGGGAAATCTTCCCCCTTCTCCTCCTCTCTGCAGAGGGGCAGCGGGAGTCTGGAGCTCAGCTGGGCAGGGTGTGGGTGTGTGGGGTGGTGAGAAAGGGTGGGGAGTGTAGTGCAGGACTTCCCCTCCACGAGTGTGGAGCTGAAGGCATAGCACAGAGCCGTGATAAAGGCAGCCAGCACAATGCTGGGGGTGAGGAGAGCAGCCTGCCCAGCTGCTCCACGCTGCGCGCTTGCAGCTCTGCACTCACACAGGGGAAGCCCCGTGCTGGACTCCTCTGCAAAGCAGGGTCAGGGCTCCCTCCACACCCAGCAGAGTGCAAGGTGCACAGTAGGGAGCAGGGGAAGCAGCTGGCTCCAGTGCAGGGCTTCCCTCGTTGTGCCTGCTGGAGCTGCAGATTCAGCGATAAGGCAGGCTCCACTCCCTCCCCCCGCACGGCGCTGGCTGGAGCCATGCCTGCACTGGACATGAGCACCCTGACCTCCTCATCTGCTGCCACTGCCAGGCAGTGTGGGCTACATGCCATGGGGGTCATGTGTGGGGGTCCCTACACCCCCCACCTCAGACCCCACACCCCCACACCCTACCCAGCTGAGCTCCATGATCCTGCTGCCCCTCTGGGAGGAGGAGGGGGAAGAGTTCCCCCCCAGCATGGAACAGAGCCTCCCCCTGCCCTGGGAGGGGAGGAGTGGGGGAAAGAGTCCCCTTGGGCTGGGCAACATCCTATAGAGCCCTACCTCCCCACCCCACAGCAATGGGGGAGAAGCAGGGGGAAGAGTCACCCTCAGGGGCCAGGAAGCCTCACAGAGCTCCCCACCCCACCCCACCCCACTGCAGGGGGGGAGGAGGAGGGAGAAGAGCCCCCACCCAGCAGCAAACAGGGACCCTCCCAGCCCTGCAGTGGTGGGGGAGAGAGGGGAGGAGTAAGAGTTCCCCCTGGTGCTGTCAGGGAGCCACTGGGGCAGGCCTGCCAGGACCTGGCCATGCCCCACCCCTCAGCTCAGCTTCCCTGTGAAAGGGAGGGCTGCTCTAATGAACATTGTGTGCCCCAGAGGTTGGGGAGGCATCGCTACTGCCCACAGGTGTTGGCGGCAGGGGCATGGCAGTGGCAAGCGAGCAGCTCCCACAGGCAGCCACAGCAGGGTGGGGATTGGTTAGCAGCAGTTGGCAACCACACGCAGACACCACTGGCAGTGGCAGCAGTGGCCAGAGGTGATTGGGGACCACCTGCAGATGCTCCTGGCAGTGTCCACGGCAAGTGGGGGGGCAAGTGATGACCACCTGCAGGCACCACTAGCAGTGTCGGCAGCGCTTTTTGCCTAGGATACACCGCCAAACTCAAGGGGTGCATGTGCACCCTGCGTGCACGCCCTACGCATCATCAATGGCTGCTCTGGCACCCTGGGGCTTCTGACTTGAGCCACTGCAGGCATGTGCTGAACATCTATCCACTTGCAAACCAATTCACTCTCTGCAGGTTAGACTAACTTACAAACACTGAATCAATTCAGGCTCACACTTTTTGAATGTCTATCTCTAGCCTTTTGCAACAAGAGCACACTGTTGGCTCCTATTCAGCTTAACTGTTTCCTGTAAACCCCAGGTCCTTTTCTGCGGTACTGCAGCCTAGCCAGACATTCCCCAGCCTGTATATGTGCATGCAGTTATTCCATCCTGAGTGCAGGATTTTGCAGTTGACCTTGTTGAATTTCATCTGGCTGATTGTAGACCATTTGTCCAGGCTGTCCAGGTCATTCTGGATCTTGGCCCTAAACTTTAGAGCAAGGGTGCTCAACTCCTGGCCTATGGGTCAAATCTGGCCCATGGAGCCGTAGCATTCAGCTTGCAGGGCTACCCATGGGTCATGATGTTTGGCAGTGGAGAAGCCATGGCAATTAATACTGCCACCCCTCCCACTCTGACTAATTCCCAAGCCTCACATGGCAGGATTGAGGCTGAGCCATGTAGCTGGGCTGGGCCTAGGCCATGTCTCCTCCCCCTGCATGCCTGCATTGGGGCCAAGCTGTCCCCCAGCCCTCTTCTCATGGCCAGATTGGGCTCCGCCATGCCCATCAAATTGGGTCCACTATTTGTATCTGGCCCAAGGACAGACTTGGCCCTGCCTATCCCACCCACAGAGCAAAAGGTTGAGCATCACTGCTGTAGTGTGTCATCCCTCTGAAATATCTGAAAATTTGTCCTTTCCTTGGAACCAGAGTACAGGGTTATATTTTTATCCTATTTTCTGGGTTCTTTGTTTTCCCTAGATTAATGTAAAAGGCATTGGGGGTCACGAAGCCCTCCATCTGAATTCCTAATTAGCCATTGGTTCACTTTTTAGCTTTGGTCAAATAATCTCTTTAACTTTGTTTAGGGGCTAAGTCTGAAACACTACTGAGGTATCTCATGGACGTGTTATGAGAAATACTTTAAGTTATTCCCTCCCCCCCATGCAGGAACAGTTCTGTCAGCTTGCAGGGCTACCCATGGATCATGAAGGAGATGATACTGTCAACATTTACTATAGTACAGAGAAGGCAGGGCAAGCATTTTTCATTTGTTTTAGGGTTACAATGGCTACAGGCAAAATATTCACAGATTCATAGATGCTAGGGTCGGAAGGAACCTCATCAGACCATTGAGTCTGACCCCCAGTCCTGGGCAGGAAAGAGTGCTAGGGTCAGATGACCCCAACCAGATGCCTATCCAGCTTTCTCTTGAAGACCCCCAAGGTAGGGGAGAGCACCACTTTCCTTGGGAGCCCATCCAAGATTCTGGCCACCCTTACCTTGAAGAAGTTTTTCCTGATGTGCAGCCTAAATCTGTTCTCTGTCAGTTTATGACCGTTGTTCCTTGTTACCCCAGGAGGCACCCTGGTGAACAGAGCACCTCTGATTTCTTGCTGCGCCCCCCCTAATGAATTTGTAGGTGGCCACAAGATCACCTCTCAGCCTTCTCTTGCGGAGGCTGAGGAGATTCAGGTCCCCTAGTCTGTTCTCATAGGGCTTGACCTGCAAACCCTTAACCATTTGAGTGGCCCTTCTCTGGACCCTCTCTAGGTTATCTACATTCTTCTTAAAGTACAGCAACCAAAACTCGACACAGTACTCCAACTGTGGTCTGACCAATGCCGCATAGAGGGGACGTATAAACTCCTTGGATTTCTTCATCATGCACCTGCTAATGCATGATAAAGTGCAATTAGCTTTGCTTATGATTTTGTCACGCTGACAACTCGTGTTCATCTTGGAGTCCACTATGACTTGGAGATCCCTTTCCACTATTGGGCTGCTAAAAGGGTCATTCCCCAGCCAGTAGGTGTGCTGGATATTTTATGCCCTAGGTGCAGCACTCTGCATTTGTCCTTGTTGAACTGCATCCTATTATGTTCAGCCCACATTTCCAACCTGTCCAGGTCCACCTGCAGTTGTTCCCTACCCTCTGGTGTGTTCACTTTACCACACAATTTAGTGTCATCCACAAACTTGGACAGACTACACCTCACTCACACATACAAGTCACTGAGGAGGAGTAAATATGAAGCCTTGAACTCGGGCCCAGGCAGGTAAGTATTTTCACTTCACATTGTGACATCAATATTTAATTACAGTTCCCCAGTGATTTCAACACTGACACTTTCAGGAGCACTAGATTAGATAACAGCTAATCAACACATGCAGTCATTAATGTTTGAAATTAAAATAGTGTTTTATGTACACAGGACTTGACTCCTTGCTTACAGCCAAGTGAATCAGGAGTGGGTGGAGAGACACTACAGTGAGACTAGTAAAAGAAGGATCAGGACTGGTATTTCTATAGCACTATGCTTTTAACATTCTTGTAACCTGGAATACTTTTCCTTTAAAGTAATCTTGTTTCTCTGGGGGAATATGTACCAGTCAGAATTGGATGCTATCTGCAGCATTGAAAGCCTTAGGGCTAAAGGAATGAACTTAGTTGGAATAACCATGTTTCTATTCTGCCTGTGAGTTTGAAATTGCATACAGTGAGCAATACAAACAGTTAATTCATTATTGATGACTGACTGAATTCTGTGCAACATTCACGGGCCATATTCTCTATCCTGCAAGGTTAGAGTCTGAAAGGAAGACAGGAAGGTTTTGAACCCATGTATAAATCCTAGTAAACACAGAGGGCCAGGTTCACCCATAGGTTTATCTGCTTTGTGGCACTCCTGTAATGCAAAACAGCTATAACTCTTAATTTATGTCTGCTTGGTGGCATCTGAGAGGCACAAGGCAGCCAATGTGTACTAGTAAATCCATCCCATAGTGTAGAAATGGGACACTATATACAACATTAAAAGCAGAGGGGGCACCCTCAGCCTCCTTAGCTGTCAAGAGTTGATTTACCTTCACACTTCCTTCATTTGTAGGCCTTGATAAGTGAACTGCTTCATTATGGCTGATATGTTGGGGAGCTAACATGAAATATTTTTCTGGGACTGCTCCCTGTCAAAAGTATAGTGATGTATTCCCTGGGATTTCAGAACAGGAGCTTTAAAAGAACAGCACTCTGTCCCACCACATTACACATGCCAGGGGAAGAGCTGAAGAGAGGGAAGGATGTGTTGTGGGTTCCCTTGACATGCTCCTTAAAAAGCCTTTGGTTTAAGGCTGGGATTTTCCAAGGAGTTGAAGGGAGCTAGGCACTGAACATCTGTGGGATTTGGGCAGATGACTCTTGGGCTTTGAAACAGCAACCAAAAGAGAGACAAAACAGCCAGGGCCAGCCCACAAATTTTTGGGGCCCCCTACCCCAAAGAAGCTGCTGCTGGCAGCACCAGGGTGTGGACAGGCTGGTAAGCAGCTGGACGTGAAGCCAGTGGCAGCAGGGAGTGGAGAGGTGAGTGGCCACAGGTTTCACAGTATAGGATGGGCCAGCCCCGATAACAGGCGCACTGTACCCTGGGCAGTGGTGCAGCATGGTGTAGGAGCAGCAGTTCGCTGCTGCAGGGGAGGAGAAAGATATCTCCACCTTTTTTGATGATGATACACATGTTGAGTATTCAAAAAACACCTATTTGGTGGCCAAAAAGGAAGTGACGTCTGCCTCACTGCAGCAGTGAACCTCTGCCTGCTGCCCCTACATCGTAGGCTGTCACTGCCACTCTGCTCTGCCCTCCCTGTTGCTGGAGCCACAGACAAAGCCACTTCAGGGAAGACGTAAGGTGCTTGTGTGGGGAAGGAAGAGGGGATAGGAGAGTGAGGAGCTCCCCCTTGTAGGCAGCGCCCAGGCCTCTTGCCTCACACACCACCCATCATAATATAACAGCCTAAACAAATGAAGACTACCTGCATGCACTAATAATTATCCAAGTGATCTACATCATTTTCTACTGTACATTTTTGAAAGTCCTCTTAATAAATAATGACAAACTGATGGTAATGTACTGGCATTTCAACTGTGACATTTGTTTACTGGGGAATTACATGAATGATAGGCCTGCACTATCTTTCCCTGGAGTAAATCAGAATGTTACTGTAGCAAAGGCTTTCTTAAAATTATTTTAGAGTAACACTTGTGTGAATCAGACCTCTTATCTCATGTTAGTTTGTTCTAGGGCAGATGCAAACAGCTGTCTGAGGAAGGCATTTGCAGACTGCTTTTGTTTTAAAGGTGCCAGTTTTCAGTGAAATAGTTCATTTGCCAAAGCAACACAGGTTTTGTTTCAGCCAAACTCGGGGGGGGAAGTCAGAAAATTCTAAATGTCTTGTTCTGATAGTTTCAAAAGTAACATTTTGACTTTGTATTTTGGGACCACATGTGGCTGATTTAAATCAAAATATGAAAAATGACCACTTGTACCTGGCTCTTAAAAACAATCAAACAAAAACCCCAACTAAAATAAATGAACCAGCCAGTTCAGGTTGAAGGGAATGTTTTGTTCAACCCAAAATTCAATTTGGCTAGTGCAGGGGAGATGGCTTCAGCATGAAAACTGAAACAATTCCATTTCAGGACACCTGAAATTAATTATTTTTATCTACTATTTTGGCTTTAATACCACAGCAAAAAACTTGTGACTCTTACAGATATACATAAACCATATAAAACCCAGGAACGATGGTAAATGTTTTTGAGTGCCAGCTACCAGCAACCCGAGCTATTAGCTATCTGTTTACAGGTGAACAAATACAGAGCACTCCTGTCGCAGTCTGCATCCATCATCTTTTTTTGCATTGTATTTGTCTGAACTGTTGCTTTAAAAAGTCTAGAGAAAAACTTTGTTTTAAATTAAGTAGATTTACCACAACCCATAAGAGCTCATATTTACAACCTGAATGAAGCTAAGGTAAGGAACAGACCTTTCACATTATACTTCTTCAGAAACAAGGAATAATTTCAAATAAAATATTCGAAGGATTCAGCTGATGAGACCAAAAGAACCAGCCCAATCCTTCTACCACTGTCTTATAAACCACAAATATTGCTGCTAAAGTAACTGCATTTTTAGAAGGTAATAAATAACCACACGGTTCATATATCACAACCAGAAAAGCGCGTAACCTCTGAAGAAAAGATCAGACCCAAAGACTCTATAATAATGTAACATGTTCTCTGCATATGTGGCATTTACCTTCTCTTCCACTGGCACAGCTGCTTCAAAAATGAACAACCATCCTGTTGGAAAGGCAGGGAAGTGAGTGAGACAGAACAGGCAATGACGAGGTATCTGAGTGCATAAATCATGTGTCCTGTGCTGGCTGGATCATGGCAGGCCTTCATAGCCACAGCAATATTTACATGTGGTTCAGCTCCCTCAGGCTGCCTGACTCACAGCAGAAGAAATCGTTTCATTTCTTCCTTATATCTGAGTTAGCTCCTTATACTGAAGTTTTACCTCAAACAGAGCAGTCAGGTTGAAAGTTTCAGATCCGATCCGTCCTAGGGTCTTCTTATTCCATGGGAAGCTCCTGCAGTGCTCTGGGACCCTCATTCAGCCAGACACGAATACAGAGCAACTTGCGGAGGAAGCAGCGTGAGATTGTTGTTTCCCTCATGGCCATTGTGATGCAATCTGAATTTTAGTTGAGCAACTTAAGCTACAAGAGAATGGTTGTCTTCGTGCAAGGAAGAAGGAGAGGAAGTTTACAAACCACCAGCCTGCAGTTAATGAGATAATGAATAGGAAATAACCAGGGATCTGGGTTTTCTGTTTCCCATGGAAAAATGGAATAACCCGCAGATTTTACCTTTTACCAGAGGCAACCGTGGATTTCTCATTTTACTGCAGAAACCTGCAGATTTTGCCGTTTTGCGAGGAGCCCCCTGCAGGCTGGCAGAGTTCTGGCCTGCAGGGGGCTGGGAGGGAGAGGGGGGAGGGCTCAGGCAGGGGCACCGTGTGCATTTACATGCACGTAGCCACCAGGCAGCCTGGAGAGCATCTCCCACAGGTAAGTTGGGGGGGCAGGATTGAGGCCCCCATAAGAAGGGAGGGGGGGAGCTGCAGCCCAGCAGCAAGGTCTTGGGGCCTTGGTTTCAATGTGTGGCCACAGGACCCTGATGGGGAGCAGAATGGGGCTGTGGGCAGCTCGTCTGGGGGGGCAGGACCAGCTCCCCCCTGCTGTGCGCACTCCTGGGGGGCAGGGGGGACCTGAACCCCCCAGATCTGTGCATGGGGTGGGAGCAGGGCAGGTTGTCTGCTGCGGGCTCGGGCAGGTGTGGCTGCTCCCTGCCACTGCACACATTCCCGGGGGGCAAGGAGGACCCATGCCTGCCCCCAGATCTGTGCATGAGGCAGGGGCTGCATACTACCCACAGCAGGCTCATGCCCCCTGGCCTGTTGCCCTCCCCAGGGGCCTCCACAGCCCAGCATGTGCAATCCGGTGCTGCTGGGAACAGTGGAAGCACTCAGGAATCTGCCTGCTGCTACAGGCTCCACACTGCCCACATCCCCTGCACACAACCCCGCACTGCCACCCCTGCTGCAGCTGCAGACATAGGGGATGCCTTGCCAGGGCAGTGCAGAGCTCACAGTAGTAGGCAGCTTCCTACATGGTTCTGCTGTTCTTTGTAGTACCAGTCGCACATGCTGGGCTGTGGAGGTGCTGGGAAAGGGCGGCAGGGCAGAAGCCTGCAGCGAGCAGTGTGCAGACCCTATCCCACGCACAGATCTTGGGGCACAGGTCCCCCTGCCCCTAAGGAGTGCACACCACAGCGGGAAGCAGCCCCCTCCCCACCACCTGAGCCCAGAGCAGGCAGGCAGCAGGGAGGGAGCTGGACTCCTCTGTGCTGTAGAAGCCCCCAACTCCTGCCAGGGGCAGGGGGCTGTAGATCCAGGTCCCTGAACCCATAGCCCTGGCAGCTGGGGGCCCCCTCTGGCAGGGCTGGGGAAGCACAACCTGTGGGTGGGGGGTGAGGGGCACCAGCAGGGCTGAGGGGGTTGTGGAGGGGAGTGAGGACGAGAAGGAGGGCTGGGAGATTGTCGGGGGGAGTGAAGGATACCATCAGGACTGGGGGGCCAGCTGGGAGGAGATAAGGGGCACCAGCAGGACTGGGGAGATTGGGGGGAGGAGCACCACCAGGGCCAGGGGGACTGTGGGGGGTCTTTCATTTTAATGATGGATTTGGGGGTTCTTATCAGAGAATTTGCAATTTTTATCAGCGAATTTGTGATTTTTTTATCAGGGAAAAACAGGATCCCTGGAGATAATGAACACCCTCAATCAGGCTTCAGGTGGGGTTGAAACGTCTTCTGGGGAATCATTATATAGGGTTTAAATTATGCTTACTGCAACTAATTGGGGATGATCCTGCTTTGAGCAGGGGGTTGGACTAGATGACTTCCTGAGGTCCCTTCCAACCCTAATTTTCTATGATGCTATGTTTCTATAACTAGTTGGGTGAGGTAGTCGTGTTGTTTCCTGCCTGACCTACCAGCTTCCATAACTGGGAAGGTACTCAGTATCTGCATGACAGCCTCCATTCACAGTGATTTCTGATGAGGTGGCACAGGCCTGCTTTGCAAAGTTATGATTACAGAGTTGGGCAGGGCACTTCTAGGGACTGTTATCCCTTCCATTCTTGGATGTGAACACTAAAGAAGATTTGGCAATTGAAAAAAGCCTTGGGCAGAAAAGAGCACCATACTCAGACAAAGGCACAAGGGGCCGTTTCCTGGTGAATTGACTTTCACTGGTGGGGACAATTACTAGAGGTGCACCGATACATCAGTCCCATATTAGATCAGATCAAACAGATATAAGGAACATAAATTGACAGTATTGGCAATCGGCTTTTTTTGCCTGATGTAGCCAATAATGTGGCTGATAAATGCCCCATGTATATGCACAGCCACAGCATGCACATGGCCAATGGCTGGGAGAGCAGCATCTGGCTGGTAAATCTGTTGTGGGGGGAGTGGTGTGGGGAGGGAAGGGGCATGCAGGAGATAGATCAAGGCCCCTGCAGTGAGGTAGGGAGTGGGGCTGGGACAGGGGCAGGGACAGGCACTGCTCAGCCAGGGTAAGGCAGAGGACAGGACTGAGCCACGAGTGGCTTGTCCAGGGTGTTACATGCACCCTGGGAAGCATGAGGGGTGTGTGCCCCAGATCCACATGCAAGGCGAGGAAAGGCTGCTGCTGTGGGCTGGGGCCAGGGCAGCACCAGGCTCTTCCCAGCAGGGGGTTGAGCCAGGCTGCACTCAGGGTGGGCATCCGCACTAAGAGAGGGGGTTGGGGGGGCTCTGGCAAATTTTGGGGTGCCTCCCATAGCCCCCCTCCCAGTGCCACCACCACTCACCCTGAGTGCAGCCCTGGCCCAGCCCACCACCAGGAAGAGCCCAGCACCACCCTGGCCCCAGCCCGTAGTGGCAGCCCACTCTCACCCTGTGCTCAGATCTGGGGGCACACGCCCCCCATGTCCTCTCATGGTGCATGCAGTGGCAGGAGCCTCCACACCCCTCATGCCTTCCAGACAAGCCGCTTGCAGCTCCGTCCTGCACCCACTTCAGAACCAAGAAGGCCAGGGGTTGACATGGGTACTAGGCTTGGTGGAGGGGCTGAAGAAGATGCTGTTGTGGCACAGCAAGTTTTAACTTTTGGCCTAAGAGTGAGAGCAACTGGACTATGCTGGGAGCTGCTCAGAAGGGTTTGAACAAGAGTTTATGCACTTATCTGGGAGGTCCAGACTAACCCAGAAGCAACAGGGATGAATGATCCAGGCCACAGGACTCAGAGCCCAGGCATCAGTGAACTTATAGCTTAAACGAGTGACAATAACTGTAGCAAAGGGATGGGCAAGAGTCTCTGAAATGATTAGTGTGGACACAGAGCTTTAATCTATATATTTGGCTGCTTGGAATTGGGGACTTTGTATTATTGCTGTGGAATATGCATGTGTAGCTTCCCACAGGGATCTTCTACTCTTGCCCTGCTTGGATGAAAGTATGGCTTTATTGTGGAGGACAGTGTTTGTACCAAGTGTTTCTATTTCCCCAAAGAGGCTAGTGTGTGAGTGACAGATATTTGTCCCAAGCATGTGGACTAGAATCTGCAATGCCCACAAGCTGCCCACACTGTCCCCAGGGAGTGTTTCACTCTGCCAAGGGCTGAGCAACCCAAGTGGGGATGAGGGTAGACAGTGTCTGAGACAGCCTGCTTTCCCCAGTCACTTCAACCAGGATAGTGAGGGAATAAGGCCATTGCCTCCCCTGTGTCAGCCCATGCAACTGGGCACATGCTAGGTAGAACAAACTGTGCTCAAACAGGTGGTGTTTCCCATGCATTCGCCTGGTGTATCAAGTAGCTAAGGGATACTGCACAATCAGGAGGCACAAGTAAGCCTAGAGTCATTAGCAGCATAAGACAGCTCGATACCACACCCAATGTGGCACAGCTTGTAAGTCCTATTGTCTGGCCTTGATCCTTAAAAGGTGTGTGTTGGTTTCAGGTAGAAACTTACTCAGTAAATTGAAGCAAACAGGTTTTACTGATTTAGAGAGCAAGAAATCCAGGGCTGTGGTGGACTGCCCTGGATAGTAGGAACTTTAACTGTGGGCACAGAAAGAAGTTACATTTGTCACACAATTGGCCCCCCTGAAAGTACTCTACATCCGTGCTATGACACACATGCATGGCTAAAGAGCACATTTAAAGTAGCAAATTCGGTGACAAATTAACCCTTATCAAATGAGGGGTCAGATGAAGGTGCTCCACTTTGAAGTACCTTATGAAGCTTGTGTTCCCTAGGGTTCTGTGACAGGAGTACCTCTACAAGAGTCTTTCTATTGGTGACTCTGCCCTCCTATTGTGGGCCAACCCCCTGCCTTCTCTCCTGCCATGCCTTGATCTTGGTTAATTGATGGGTGTTAATTAGCGGGAGGCTGCCCATTTTATTTTTTTGCCCCGGTGCTAGGGGGCACTATCTGTGGCTCCTTTCCTCCCCTACACTGCAACCCAAGCCTCACGGATGGTACTGACGTGGTTTTGACCTGCACCTTGCTGTAATTTGGCCCCCTCCTTGGCTTCCCTGGGTTTCCACCACCCTGTCTCATCCTGTGCCTTCCTGGCACTCTGCTGCCTCCTCTCAGTGAGGCTCCTTGCCACCCCCTCTCTCTCTGGGGCTCCTCGCTGCCCTCTCTCCCTGGGGCTTCTCGCTGCCCCCTCTCTCTGGGGCTGGGGCCAGTGCACCCCAAAATGCTGCGCCCTCTCTGGCTCCGGGGTCCCCACGCTACCGTGGAGCTCCTATGAGGCTTCCTCCAACCCGAAATAGCCTCACCTGGTCCTCCGGTGTTATAAAACTACAAACAGAAAACTCAAGCCCCTGGGCTATAACATA